ATTTTTTTTAATTTTTTTTTTTGCAGGGAGCTGTACCTATCCATCCGGAGGGGCATGGAGGGGGGGGCGGAGGTGTGGGGCGGAAGCATTGTTAAAAGTCTCGGACTGGTGATTCACTGACCACCAAACTGGCGGCGCGAAGTCAATTAGCCGAGTAAAACCTGGATAGCCCTGGAACAAGGCATCCCTTGGCAAAGTCAGCATTATGCTTTAGATTTTTACAAATATTATTTTCCCCGGGGGCAAGGCGGTGTGTCCACTATGCCAGGACAGCTATTTTTGCTCCCGGTAGCTCCCAGGCAGCAGCCTGTGTCGCGCGTGCCTTTAAGGAGACGGAGCCTGTGTGTACGCGATGGGGTTGAACAGGCGTCGGGGCAGGCTTCGGCATTTTTAGGAGCCGTGGCAGCCAAAATACCCGCGTTTACTAGCTAAGAAGGGTGATATTTCAGCTGTGTTGTTTTGCTTGCAGATCAGCAAAAAACCACAGTGATTGAAAACGGTGAAATCAGATTTAATGGAAAAGGGAAAAAGATTCGGAAGCCTCGAACCATTTACTCTAGTCTACAACTCCAGGCTTTAAATCATCGCTTTCAGCAGACTCAGTACCTGGCACTTCCAGAGAGAGCTGAACTGGCAGCTTCATTAGGACTTACCCAGACACAGGTAATTACTGGGAATCCCAAATCACTGAAATCCTGCTCGAGCAATCAAGGCCAAGCAAATTATGATGCTCCCTAAACATTTTGGCCTATGTCGGGGACGGTAGAAAAGGTTACGCACACGGTCCCCATCTCTATGTGCTAGGATTTACCCAACGCGCTACAGAGAAGGAACTGAAAGCGCCCTTCCCTCAGCCGTCTGGCGAGCAAGCGCTCCCTTTTGATGCCACACATAACATTTCTAATTGCCTATATTTTCGGATAATTCCAGCACCGAGATGCAATTGCCCAGCTGTGAAAAGGAGAACAAACAAAGGCAAGGAATCTCTGGGCCTGAGGTAGAGCTAAAAGCAAAGCTGCCTCGTAGCAACCTATAGGTAGAGGGGAAGCAGGAACGCGTTAGGAAATACCTGTAAAATCAATAGTTAATTCACCCTGGATGACTAACGCAAATGCAGTGGTTAGCCTTGGGCAAAATGTACGGAAGGTGATAATAGATCTGAAGATCAAAGACAGCCGTGTACAAAATTATGGCAGGTTAAGCCATAGTTAAGTGTGGTTGGAGTAGCTGTGCCATTCTGCTAATTTAAGCTTGAAAGACATATGAGGCATTACAGGCTTCCCAGGCTGGGGTTTGCGGAGAAGTGCATGGATAGATAGGATCAATTCGGGTAAAATGTAATCATGTGAATTTATGAGCTTAACAAATAACTTCAGGATTTTATCATTGTCATTGGTAACAGTCGCTTCCAGCCAGCGGTTTTTAAATACTCAGCAAGCATTAATGATAGGAACAGACCTGATGATTTTGCAAATGGGATTTTAGTACCCTTTGCATGCAGGCTCTGTCTCACTGCTGTCTCGCTTTCTCTCTCGCATAGATTTTTTTTTTAAGGAGCCCGATCCTGAGCATTCAGCTAGAGGAGCACCACTGCTTATCCTCTAACATTATGTCTGCAAAGTTTGAGAGGTCAAAAACACGTGGGGGATTTGTTTTCTTTGTTTGGTTGATTTTAAAAAAATATGTTGTGTATTTATGTCTTACATATGTATAATTCCTATAATAATTCTGATCTGCCAGTGTGCCTGATCCTTGCACACCACATCGAGTGCACACTCCCTCTTCGGGAGTTCTGCTGGGTTAGAAGCAGGATGAGACCCAAAGTCATCTTGATACCTAATTACTGGACAAGAAAATACAATTATTCTTTCTTTAAAAGCATCTTTTAAAATAAAGCCACAATCCTGGTTCCATTGTGCCTACTCCCCCATCACATCAGCATGGAGCTCTTGATCTGATCGTGCAGATTTCGGATGCGCAATTTCTTTGTAAGATGCCCTTTGTCTATTGGCTCCTGTCTCCTGGCACAAAATCATATGATTGCCCGTGTTTGACAACAGTTTGTCCGAATGATCAAATGACCTCCAAAATTCTGAATGAGGCGTTAGAGCAAGAGACCTCAGAGCATGTAGTCTGTTTCAGCTCTGGCCTGCCCAGGGCAAGCGACGTTCCAGGTTAAAACCTGCATCCATCTCGCTTTCCAGCTCTACTGTGCCTCTCCTGTTCTCTCCAGCTGCATCCAGAGTCCGAGAGCAACCGTAGCTACCCTTCCTTCCACTCTCCCCATACTCAACTCCACACATGACTTCGTGTGCTCTCAATACCTTCTCTAGAGCAGACCCACGGCCCCCGGGGTCTCCCCTGCTGTGCCCTGAGCGCTGACGGCAGCCTAATATCTGCTGCGTTTTGGTTTACAGGTGAAGATCTGGTTTCAGAACAAGCGCTCCAAATTCAAGAAGCTGCTGAAGCAGGGAAGTAATCCCCACGAGAGCGACCCTCTGCCCGGCTCCGCTGCCCTCTCCCCTCGCTCTCCAGCTCTGCCTCCAGTCTGGGACGTTTCAGCCTCTGCCAAGGGAGTCAATATGCCTCCCAACAGCTACATGCCTGGCTATTCTCACTGGTATTCTTCTCCACATCAAGACACAATGCAGAGACCACAAATGATGTGAATTGTCCAAGAGAAATAATCTCCCAAGAACGCCTCGTCTCGACATGGCAAGAAGTTCCCCTGCTTTGCCAAGCCGTGCCAGCTAACAGGCTCTGTGTGAACTTGTAGATGCGGCAAAGAGACAGAGTGGCTTTATATAATTTTTTTTTAAGTAACCTCAGCGACTGATCTTGAACAGAAAGACACAATTTTCATTCTGGCGCACAGAAGACACTTCTCTTTAGGATATTTTCCTTTGGACTCCAAGGCACCAGCCTCTTTCTCTGTGGAGTATACGTCAAAACAAACTTTTTACAGACTTTGCCCTCAAGAACCCGAATCTACCATGGCAGCCGTTTTTACTTGTTTAATGAGCTAAAGACATTACATGATGAAAGAGAGACTCCTTCATTTTTATTCACCAAATCCGGACTGGGGAAAGGATTAAAAGACAGAAGAAGGGTTTTAAAAAAAAATTAAGATGGGAAAAAATGAGAACTGGTTGAAAACTGAAAATATACTGTAAGATTAGAACATTACCACGAAGCAAAACCTGCATGCTTTCTCAAAATGCAATGGGCTGCGGCTCAGAAGAAACCACAGTTTCTCCCGCGAAGAGCCTCCTCATCCGCACAGACCCGCACCCGCACACAGCCGGACAGACTCCCGGAGACGAGCAGGAAAGACAGAGCAAGGGATCCGCGGCCAGACCCGCCGCCGCGGGCTGGGGACGGAAGGTTCAGCGCTGCCCGGCGGCAGCCTCACCTACTGAGCGAGAGGGACCTTTTCCCGAGCAACCTTTATGTATATATTGTTGAATTTTAGTTGTACATATAATTTGTATGTTTTTGTCTTCTTTCATATATAGAGTAAAAGCCACAAAACGCCCGCCTGGCTCCTATTTCTCTCCGCCTTAGCGGATCCCCACCTCCCCGACCTGCCCCCCTAGTTCAGTCCGAGCAGGGGGACCCAGTCCCCGCTTGCCTGTGCGCACAGACACCTCTACCAAAGCATATATCTGCGAGCAAAGAAAGAAAGGATGAGGTGGTTGGGGGGAGGGGGTAGCTGGTTGGTTTTAAGGCTACGACTTAAAGACAGGAGATACCGAGTCCGCAAAGATAAGCCCAGAAGAAGTTCCTAATCACCCGGCCATTTCTGCTGCGATTTCACTGCTCCGCTGCTCAGCTGAGCTGAGCTTTCTCGCCGAGGCAAAGCTCAGAGCCCTGTCTTTCTTCCCAAAGGCTGGAGACTCCAAATTATTAAGAAAGGAGGCGCCCTCCTTTGTTTTTAAAGAGCAGACAATGCAAGCTGAGGAATGTTTTGCAAAGCCCTGAGAGGTGCCCAGGCACACAACACGCTGTCCAGCCAGCTCCAGCCGCACCAGCTTGTGGAAAGCACATCAACTACTGACAATGAAAAGCCCTTTCCTCATCCAAGCTGGGTGCCCCATACTGCGAGAATTAATGGCTAGAGACCTGGGCATCCTTCAAATTATGAACCTTGAAACCACTGAGCCATTTATCAGAAGTCAATAGAGATCCTCAGAGTGCTCCATATAATGACAGCTACATACAGTCGTGCAAAAGGACAGTCACTATAATTAGACACAAAGCAAAGACTACTTACCAATATACCAGTTTTTTGGGGGGTGTTTTTTTGTTTTTTTTTTTGAGCAACTTCCACGCTCAGTCAGTCTTCAGAGTGGTTTAAAACCGATCAGTCTTGTCATTTTCTACCATTCGTATTGTTACATTAGGAAAAATGTTTTCTTTTCTTTTTTTCCCCTTCCCACTGTGAAACTTTGGGTTCAGAGCTCCCCAGGATCAATTCTGAACAAAGCCTCCAGCTGCAGTGCCATCCAATTTGAAGCAGACATTGGGGACAATTTAAGGTTTTTATCCACAAGAAGGTTTTTTTCCATTCTCTTAAATGCAGCCATAATTAGAGTAATTTTTCATGTAGCCCGCTGATTACAGCGTTTTTACCGTCAAAGATAATTACCTGTAATTTTCTTCCACTTTTAATACTAAAAAGCCATCTTTATTTAGATTCAGGAACAGGAAAGGCGAAACAAAAGAGGAAAATTATTCTGTTATTCATACACAAATTGCAGAGACGTAGGGCCTAAAATTGAAAATTAACCAAAATTATAATGCTGAAAAGAATGGAAGAGGCTTCAGAAGTACAGCTGGTAGTGGGGCTCACTGAATTATTCAAATGACACTGGAGAGAAAGCTACCATACATTTAAACCAACGGCATTGTGTGCATCTTTCAGAAGACCCCGCTCACACCCCCAGCGCCGGCCCCTGTGCGGGCTCGCCCTCGTCCCGCAGAAGGGCGGCGGGTGCCCCG